AAATGAACAAAGCTCCACAGCCCACAGGCCCCCCACCCGCCCCATCCCCTGGACTCCCACAGGTAATTAGGAAGGAATTAGCCGAGACTGGGGTGGGGGTGGGGGAGATCAGGCAGCCGGTCAGGAACAGGTTCCAAACCCTCTGGATTTTCCCACCCCCATCTGTGTCAGGGCAAAGTGCAGTTTTCTGCTGCCAGATTGAGACAGGGCTCCTGGCTGTTCCCAGGGGCTGTCATGGAGAGGGGATATGTGGACTGCTGAGGCTCTTGCCCCAGATCTGCCCCCCTTACTTCACCAGCTTGGGTTTCTGCCCCACCCGGGTTTTCCCTCTTGCTGAACTCTGGTCTCCCCCTTCAGCCAGCGTTTCCCCCGGGGCAGACAGCACCGGTGGTGTTCAGTACGCCACAAGCGACACAAATGAACACGCCTTCTCAGTCCCGTCAGGTGAGGGGCTGTGGGGATGGGAGTAGGGGGCCTGGGTGGGAGCTGTGGAAAGCTTAAGCCAGCTTGGGCCTGGATGGAAGCTCTGGAGGGCCTGTACCTGCCCCAATTTCCTGACGGTTGCTCTGTATTCTTTCATGCGACTCTGCACTTTGCACTGGTGATTACTTACGGCCCTTTGGGGAGTATGTAGTTGATGGGGGTGACATTACTAGGGGTGCTGGTGCCATCAGAATTGGGGGCAGTACTTTGGGCCCTGCTGCCAGCTCCTTTCCTACTTCCTCCTTTTACTGGGAGGCTGCCATTGCTCCATTCCCCTTCCCTTCTTTCTCTTTGGACTATGGCAAGATAAACACTCCAGCTGCTGCTTGCCTTTCTGTGTTCCCTAAATTCTTCCTCACTAAGTGGGAGGATTCCTGTCCTACTTCCTCCCCCCCCTCCCCCATCACCTTGGGGGTAATGCTCTTCTTTCCTGTCCCCATGTGCTCTCAGGGAGGATTCAGGTCTCTGCAGGTAATACCCCTTTGCTAATTCTGGACCTTCTCCTGGTCTCACCCTTATTCTCTGTCCTAGTCCGGGGCTAGGCCTAGGGACTGGAGGCTTCAGGGTGGGAACTTGTTTGCTGTCTAGGTTTTCAGTCTGCGACTGACGGATGCATGTTAGGGGCTAAATCTTTCACTGTATACCTGGCAACTGGGTGACCTTTGCATGCTAGTTAGTTCCTCAGTACTTCAGGGTGGAGCAGTGCATGCTGGGAGTATGTTGTCCTAAAAGGCTTTTAGTTAGGCATAATGCATCTGGGGGTTAGGAAGCCTCTGCAGAAGGGTAGCCTCGGTGGAGGTGACATGAGTATGCATGGCAGTGAGGGAGTAAATACACAGGGTGCAAAGTGTATACCTCAGTGTGGAAGGCATGTGTAGGTACAAGAAGGTCACTTACCATCATTTGGTGAAGCGGGTGTTGGAAGGATTGGGCCCCATGCTCCATAGCCCTAGTACTTCTCTCCAGACTAGAGACACTGCTGAGTGGCCCTTCCTAATGTCAACTGCCTTCCCCCCTCTTGACAGCACTTCTACCCTAGCCGGGCCCAGCCCCCGAGCAGTGCAGCTTCCCGAGTGCAGAGTGCAGCCCCCGCCCGCCCTGGCCCAGCTGCCCATGTCTACCCTGCTGGATCCCAAGTAATGATGATCCCTTCCCAGATCTCCTACTCAGCCTCCCAGGGGGCCTACTACATCCCTGGACAGGTGAGGCTGGAGGCTGGGGGCTGGAAGCCACAGAATCTTGTACTCCAACCCTCATCTCCCCAATCCTGACCCTCCAATCCCATCTCTTCTCCATAGGGTAGGACTTCTTTCTGGTCACTGCCCAGAGTTGGCTTGTCCTATCTTTTTGTTTTAATGGCTTGTCCTATCTTGCCCTACATTCTCTTTGTAGTCTGATATGATACTCAGCTTCCTCAACTCCTTCTCTCCCCCTCCTCCTCTCCCTTCCCCCTCACCAGGGGCGTTCCACATATGTTGTTCCGACACAGCAGTATCCTGTGCAGCCTGGAGCCCCAAGTTTCTATCCGGGTGCAAGCCCTACAGAGTTTGGGACCTATGGTAAGCAGGGGAGGGGGAATCAGGTGAGAGTTGAGTACAAGGGACATCTAAACTCACTAATTCCTAATACCCTTTCTAGGCTTGTCTCTTGGTCTAAAAATGATAGGGCTAGTAGGTTGTAGGGATATGTGTGGGTGGTGGGGAATTTTATCCTATTTCTGTGAGTTGGAGTCCTCCCCATCGCAAGGAATATTGAATCAGGCACCAGTTTGAGGGCCTGTAAGTAAACATTTCCTGTGATACTCATTCCATGGGTGCAGGGAGCCATGGATTTGGGAGGTTTTTGTGGCTGTTTTTCATTTATATTCTTGGAGAGGATTAGTCTGTTCTTTATGGTAGTGGTTTCCAGAGTTTTTTGATCATCTATCAGGAAAAATTTTGATTAGGTACCTCTAATGTTATGGTTTTGTTTATATATTTGCATAATTTAAACAAATAATACTTAGGTTGCTTGTGAAAAACAAGTGGAGATTATGGATGAGATTAAAGAATGTATCCCACTTTGGAGACCATTGCTTCTAAGGAATTAATTTTTCCTCATCCTGGGCCTGGTTCATAATTTTACTTTTTATTTCCTTGCTCCTGAGCAAAGGGCTGGAGACTGGAACTGGACTCATGTTGAGTGGATAGGGTTGGCAAATCTTTTTCTCATTCCCAGCCAAAGACCTGATTCTGTTTCAGGTTAAGTAGTTGCTGCTCCCTCAGAGTATATGTGTATGTGGTCCCTGGGGTGGGGTACATACAGCATGTTACCAAGTGGAAGAAGGACAGACAGAATCGTGGTGGCTGGTGTATGATGGGGGACGAGTCCCTGCCTATAAGGGGTGTGTGTGCCAGTGTCAGGAATTCTTGTAAACGCAGCTCAGACTGGTTCCCCAGCTTTGATAGACACCTAATTCCCTTGGGGAGGAAGGTGGGGCAGGGCAAGGGGCCGGCTGTGGGTGATGAGAAGTTCTGGGGTTGGGAGGTACTCAAACAGGCATCTGTGTATGGTTGTGCCCTGACGCTGCCACCATTCTTCCTTTCCCTGTGTCGTCTCCCCCCTCTCCCGCCAAGCTGGCACCTACTACCCAGCCCAGGGTGTGCAGCAGTTTCCCACTGGTGTGGCCCCCGCCCCGGTTTTGATGAACCAGCCACCCCAGATTGCTCCCAAGAGGGAGCGGAAAACGGTGAGTAGCAACAAGGGGCTCTCGGACATGTTGGAAAGGGAGAATCAAGGTCAGGCGCATTGTGGGTCAGGGAGCAGGAAGTTGAGGAAGGAGATCTTCAGTTGAAATGGGCAAAGAATGGGGATCTGTGAAGTGCTCGTGTTTTTTTGTATGTTGCTAAGATTACTTTAGAAGAAGCTCTTGGGAAGACTAAAGTGGCTGGTGGGGAAATTCCTGAGAGACCTGGGTTCTGGGGTCCATAAGATCATGTTTGGTTTTAGGTTTCTGGTGGCTTGCTTTAGAAATGGTTGGTTTTCTGTGGCCCCACCCCCACCCCCTAGTCCTGGAAGCTCTTGAGGCCTCCGCCTCTGCTCAATCCTCAAGCCCTGGGCGTGGTGCCCAGAATAGGGTGCCAGGGCTGGGGAAGCCGCTGAGTCACCCTGGCTCCACCCACTGGATCTGGGCCCTGCCCCCAGAGATCAGGCCGGCTAGCCACAAGTGAGCCGAATGGGTCCTAGATGGGGGTCCTGGGCCCCAGGGTGTGCAGCCACTGCCTTGGGGACTATTGGGGCAGGGATGAGGGAGGGAGGGGCATTGTGATGTACAGGGCTGCTCTGTGAGGTCAAGGGTCTCAGGGGTGGGGACCAGGGCAGGGACTACAAGAGCAGCCGGATGGGTTGACAGTAGAACTCATAGGGTTTCCGGCACCCGCCCACCTGTTCCCAGTGGGAGGGTGGAGGGTTGGCCTGGAGTCTTAGGTGTGGGGCAGGGTAGAGAGGTGGGCTCCTCCTGCCTTCCACTGATCCTGTAGCTTTTTTTCCTCAGATCCGAATTCGAGATCCAAACCAAGGAGGGAAGGATATCACGGAGGAAATCATGTCTGGGGCCCGAACCGCCTCCACACCCACTCCTCCCCAGGTATTGTCTGCTAAGAAACACCGTGGCTGGGATGGCTATTCTGCTCTGGACTCCCAAGTCCGGTGGTCTTTTCCTTCAGCTAAGGGATTTATTTCCCTGCTTCCTGGATTGCTAGGTAGAGCTAAAGTAGAAATGGCTCTAGTAAAGAGGGCTGTGGGCCTCTTTAGGGCAAAGTTGGTAACATTTTGTGTCCTGCAGACGGGAGTCGGCCTGGAGCCTCAAGCTAATGGGGAGACTCCCCAGGTTGCTGTTGTTGTCCGGCCAGGTGTGTAAGCATGTGGAGCAGAGCTTTTACGGGGAAAAGGAGTGCGACAGTTTAAAATGCCAAGGAGGTGTAGAAAATAAAATAAAATGACGAGGAGTTGGGGTGGTAGAATGAACCAGGTGCCAGAGAAGAATGACTTGTTTCAGGTAGTGGAGTTTGAGAGTGGGTTGGGTTTTGGGTGAAAAGAGAAAAGGCTTAGGTGGGAGAAGACTGGGGGAAGGGAGCATTAGGTTGGGAATGCCTTGGCTGGGAGGCGGAGGTGGAGGAACAACAGAGAAAGACTTGCCTTTAATTACTCATTCTTCCTGTGGTGCAGATGACCGGTCACAGGGAGCAATCATTGGGGGCCGGCCGGGGCTGCCTGGCACAGAGCATAGCCCTTCCGAATCGCAGCCTTCATCACCTTCTCCGACCCCATCACCACCCCCAATCTTGGAACCAGGATCTGAGCCTAATCTTGCAGTCCTCTCTATTCCTGGGGACACTATGACAACGGGGATAATACAAATGTCTGTAGAAGAATCATCCCCCATGCCCCGTGAAACTGGGGAGCCATATTGTCTCTCTCCAGAACCCACTCCCCTCGCTGAACCTATACTGGAAGTAGAAGTGACACTTAGCAAACCAATTCCGGAATCTGAGTTCTCTTCCAGTCCTCTCCAGGTTTCCATCCCCCTGGCATCTCCCAAGGTGGAAATTCTTCCTGAGCCTAATGGCACCGTCCCATCTGAGGATCTAGAACCAGAGCTAGAGTCCTCAAACCCAGAACTTTCCCCTGTCCTTCCTCCCGCTTGTTCCTCTGAATCCCCCATGCCTATTGCTCCAACTGCCCAACCTGAGGAACTGCTCAATGGAGCCCCCTCACCACCAGCTGCGGACTTGAGCCCAGTCAGTGAGCCAAAGGAGCAGGCCAAGGAGGTTCTAGCACCAGTGGTTCCCCGCACCATCCTCTCTGCCACTCCAGCTATGGCTCCTCCCGTGACTTCCCCTGCTCCAGAGGAGGAAATGGAGGAGGAGGAGGAGGAAGAGGAGGAGGAAGAAGAAGAACCTGGAGAAGCTGAGAGTGAGAAGGGAGGAGAGGAACTGCTTCCCCCAGAGAGTACCCCTGTTCCAGCCCACCTGTCCCAGAATTTGGAGGCAGCAGCAGCCACCCAAGGTAAGATGTGGCTGGATGGTGGAGGTGGGTTAAGCCTGGAGGGTGTGATTCTTTCTGTTGATCTCCCATTTGTGCTGTTATGTCTGGGTCAGAAGCTCTGTGATGGAAACTAAGAACTAGATTAAGGAATTTAAGAGAGGGTGTGATGGAAAGAGGAAATGTTACACAGTGACTGCTTCCCCCCCCCCTTTTTTTTACATATCAATAGATATAGTGATTATTCACCAAACACAGTGCTACTCAGAAATAAGTAATTTATCTTTTCACATAAGCATTTGTGTTGAATCTCAAAGTTTCTGTGTACATGGAGGAAACGAGTGTTTGTTACAGAGTACACACCAAGTAGTGCCTATAAAATTATGAACAATATGAACTATTCTATTGTAAAGAAAACCCATGACTACATGGAGGGCCGAGAAAGGCAGAAAGAGAGATTATGACAGGGTATTAGGAAAATATTGGATGTGGCAAAAAGTAGGTTTAGAGTTGCTGGTATGGAAAATAGTACATTAATAATAATAATAATATTAATAATACAGGGGCACTTCTTAAGTTATTCCCATTCCTTCTCCCCCCCCCCCCATAATTTAGAGTTGCTGGTATGGAAAATAGTACATTAATAATAATAATAATATTAATAATACAGGGGCACTTCTTAAGTTATTCCCATTCCTTCTCCCCCCCCCCCAATTCAGTGGCAGTATCTGTGCCAAAGAGGAGACGGAAAATTAAGGAGCTCAATAAGAAGGAAGCTGTAGGAGACCTTCTGGATGCCTTCAAGGAGGTAAGGAAGCAGATAGTAGCAGAGGGCAGAGTTTGGGTATGGAACAGTGGCTGAACTGCAACCAAATGGAATGTCCCCGTGGTTGCAGGCAAACCCAGGAGAACCGGAGGTGGAAAATCAGCCTTCTGTAGGCAACAACCCCTGTCCAGAGCCTGAGAGCAGCAGTGCGCCCACACGACCTGAGGAACC